TTCCTACCAGTATCATGATTTGCATCGTGACCACAAATCGTGACATATAGTAACTCAAAGGCAAAGGGGGGGGGGGGGGGATAATTAAGATGCTTAACATTCCACATGAAGTGTCAGTCATGCTGCCATAATCACATTATAACATGCCATCGTACTTACTCTATTATTGCTAAAAGCAGTAGTGTTCAAAGTGATAGTAACTCACCGATTCACTCAATTTACCGGCGGTAATTTACCTCCGTATCACTCTTGTATCGCTACGAACCATTGCTACGGATGTCACGGTGACAGTGGTTAACACGCGTGCCTCGTAGCAAGATGAGTCAGAGTTCGACTCCTGACTCGGGCACCTTTCGGTGGAACTTGTATGTTCTCTCTTGATTTGAAGCTTTCGTGACTGCAGGAATCCATACTCTTTGGTTCTTTCAGTCTGTCTTAGCAGCAGACCATGCTTTCACACCTGATGATGGACGCTTCTGTTGCGCCCGAAACGTCGTGATACTGGTAGGAACCTCTTGGTTACACCAGCCCACAGGAGATTATTGTGCCCGTCCGTCCGTCGTGATTCCAAATATTGGAGGGGTGGGGCTGGGTGGAGAGGTGAGGGGCTGGGTGGGGAGGGGCTGGGTGGGGCTGGGTGGGGAGGGGCTGGTCACCCCGTGGTGCCCTTATAAAACGCAACGTTTAACCTACTCACGTCGGCTTGTGCCCGCCCTCACAGTCGGGCATGTTTGCGGAATATACCATGCCCACGTTGACCATGGCCATTGACCGAGCAACCCAACGTTCCTACCAGCTCCCTCCGCAGGAATGTGTTTTATTTTATTGGATGTTCTCCCCAATGTCTGCCACGGGTTTCCTCCCAAAGCGAAAACAGATTGAATAACTGGCATTGGGGCCAAACATCCCAATGGTGAAACATGACCCGCAAATTTCTCGATTAGGATTACACACGCCGACATCGTAAACATACAAACACTACTCTCATTAACTCCACTCATTTGCTTTCTTCAACCGTGTTGAAGGACCCTCTTATACCTGACTGGTATAAGTAAGTCTCATTCACACGATCTTCAAACACCGTAATGCAAAAAAAAAACACTTCACTGGACGTGTGGAAAAAAAAAGCTTCATAGCTCATCGGATTTCTCCAGCATAAAGATTCTGATTCAGACTTGTATTTGCTCGCACACATTATTGTAAACCTGCCTGCTTTAAGAAACATAATCCATGCTGCTTGCAATTTTGGGTCGTTGAGCCTGTGCTCAACCTGTGTGATACAATTTTTTTTTTCAAAGTTATTTAGAATTTTACTTAACTTCATAACACGATGCTACCATTAAGGTCATCACCCATATGTATGTCTACTCCTGTAGGAATCCGATGAGCTACAAATCTCTCATTCCCAGTAGTTTTCACAGGAACACCAAGATGAATCCACGTGCTCCTCCAGTGCGGCAAAGCGCCCCCCCCCATACCCCAATCATCATCCATGGTCGTTTCAAGTTTCATTTATTTGGTAGAGCCCTGTGAGCCATTCGGCTCTTGAATCGGGTGCAACCGCAACAAACAAAAAACATGAACAAGAAAACATCTTAAAGTGGCTATGTGCAAACAGAAAATCCAAGAAAAGACAGAAAAATATTGCAGAAAAAGCACCGTACACCAACGCTGTGTGCAACAATCCCAATGGGATGCAAGTCAACAACAATAACCACAAGACAACTTAGATTAAGGCCATCAGTCTAACTCCGAACTACAACAAACAAACATGGCCAAACCAAAAAAACTTTTCGAAAATCACCAAAATAAAGCCACTAAAATCAATGAAACCCCTACACGCAGCACAGGTCGTCGTGAGCCACTTGTCAACACGTGCCCTCCTCCTTCAACGTAAGAGCAGCAAAACGACACGAAATCTCAGCCACAAGTCCTCGTCGGTGTCGTGGCGACAGCCCTACAACAAGGAAGGGTCATGGGTTCGATCCAGATGCCCGACGCCTGCTGTGTATTTGGAGTTTGCGGTGTCTATCTCGGTTACTCCAACCCCCCCCCCCCTCCACGTTTCGAATCAACATCACCCACGCGTTTAGTTTAATTTGGCAGCAATAAATGTGTCCATGTGAATGTTCACACGATAAGCCGAGCTATCGTTTGGGATAGCCAAGTGGCTTCTGAAAAAACAGAGCTCAGTTGCCCTATCCCTGGTAAAGTTTAAATAGTGAAGTTTCTATTTGTAGTTTCACAATTGTTGAGGTCTCAGCTTAATGACAGGCAAGACGAAGAAGCGACGTCACCCAGACTGCGTTAGCCGGGTGCGTGGTGTGAATGACATGACGTCACGGTGTGAGATGACGTCCGTTTATCGGTGGGGGGGGGGGGAGTTTGAGGAAAGGGGCGAGGGGAGTGACATGACGTCAACATGCGGGGTTTTTATACGGGGAGAGGAAGTGACGTCACGGAAATTCGGCGGGGTTTTTAGTCTGAGCGAAGAGACGATTGGAGGCAGGTCACCAAGAGGTGTTGGGAGTGACGTGACGTCACGGGGTGCGATGACGTCAGTTTTTCAGTGGGGGGGTCGAGGAAAGAAGCGAAGGACGTGACGTCATGCGCGGCTTCTTTCCGGGGAGAGGAAGTGACGTCACCCTAAGTCGGCGCGGTTTAAGTCTGAGCGAGTGGACGCGTGGAGGCAGGTCACCAAGAGGGTTATCGTTTGATGTGTGACGAGAGGTAAGTGTCGTCGTCGTCGTCATCAAATCGGCGGGAATGAGTGACTGTACCGGATTGTTCAGGTAGAGAGGAAGTGACGATCCCACGAAGAGATACGCGTTTGCATGGCGGGAGGAAGTGACGCGGCCTTTACGCAGCCTGTTTCTCGATCCCACCTGAGGACGATTGCTTGCGTGGCGATCGAAACATCGTGATCTATTATTTTCTCTACCTACGTGAACCAAAGAGTAGTGAGTCAACATCTTTGCTGAGGGGTGGGGGCGGGGGCCACGGAGTGACACGGAAGGATGGCGTGATGGGACGGATGTGACGTCATCAGTTTAGGCGGGAACACGCAAGGAGGAAGTGACGTAGCAGGCACGTCACGTGTTCCCGTCGTGTGACTGGACGGAAGTTGTGTGGCCGGAGGGGGGGGTGGCGGTTTACATGACGTCATCGCGCGATTAGCGGAAGTGGCTGAAGAAGAAGGGGGGGTGGCTTAGTTTTGTGGGCGTGGCTTAGTTTTGTGGGCGTGGCTTAGCTCGGGGGGCGTGGCTACGGGGAAGCGAGGGGCGGGGCCTCAGCGCCGCCATGTCGCGCTCGGGGCTCGCGGGGGGGAAGATGGCGGACTTCTCTCTCGGGGTCGCGCAGGCGGCCGCGGCGGCGGCGGCGGGCGTCGGCGCCGGGAGCCTCAAGCCCGAGGTGTTTGCAGACGCCGTGCAGCGCGCGCGACAGGTCTCGGCTCGACACGCACTCGTGGCCGCCTTGCGGAGACGTCGGGGGGGGCGGCCGCGACGGGGGACGCCCCGAGAGTGTGTGTGTGTGTGTGCGCGCCTGCGGCCTTCATGTGCGCTTGCGGCCTTCGTGTGTGTGGTGGGTCTAGGGGTGGTCTGTGTCTGTGTCGGGGGTTCCTTTTGTGTCTCTAAGCGTGTCTGCTAAGGTGTGTGTGTGTGTGTAGGGTCCATGTATGTCTCGTATGTGTGTAAGCCATAAGTGTGTCCATGTAGGGCCCCCATGTGTGTGGGTGTGGGGTGGGCCGTGTGTGGTGTGTAGGGTCAACGGGGTTCGGCGTCTCTTACATTCACGTATCTCCTCCGTTTGTAGGGTCGATGTGCGGCTGTGTGTGTAGGTCCGAGTGTCCATTTAGGGTACGTGTTTGCCTTTGTCGTCTTGTGTAGTATCTGTCCATGTGTTGTAGGGTTAATGCGTCTTCTTTTGTAGATGTACAAAGCACGTGTCCGATTTCAGTGTCCGGCTCTGTCATTGTATGCCAGTGTCTGTGTCTTTCGTCTCCATGGGTGTGTGCCATAAAATATCTATACAGTCCGTGTGTGTCCGTCTGCCTCCACGTGTCTTGTGTGGGTCCTATGCTGACCCATGCTTCTCGAGGCTCGCTATCATTACCGTGCCGATGTACATCGAGTTGCTTTGCACGACATTTCTCCGTGCAATCTGACCCCTGGCTCGTGATGCGAGTTTGTGCGTTATTATAATCGGTGCTGTGCGTGCCATTGTAACCGCGGCGAGGCCTGAAGCTAGGCTAGCGGGCCGCGCTTTGGCGCGAACGCGGGCGATCGATGGTAAAACCCTCGTCTTGGGGGGGGGGGGGAACGTGGGGCCCAGGGGGGGAACTTGGGGCCCAGGGGGGAACGTGGGGCCCAGGGGAGGAACGTGAGCCCCAGGGGGGGAACGTGGGGCCCAGGGGGGGAACGTGGGGCCCCAGGGGGGGAACGTGGGGCCCAGGGGGGGAACGTGGGGCCCAGGGGGGGAACGTGGGGCCCAGGGGGGAACTTGGGGCCCAGGGGGGAACTTGGGGCCCAGGGGGGAACTTGGGCCCAGGGGGGAACTTGGGACCCCAGGGGGGAACTTGGGGCCCAGGGGGGAACTTGGGGCCCCAGGGGGGAACGTGGGGCCCAGGGGGGAACTTGGGGCCCAGGGGGGAACTTGGGGCCCCAGGGGGGAAACTTGGGGCCCAGGGGGGGACGTGACCCCTGACGCACGGGGCCCAGGTAAAATCTATCCACGGCCCAGGGAGTGTGAGACCTGGTGTCGTGGCCACTACTCGGGGGACCGAGGGGGTAACGTTGTAACCGCATGTTAACACGGATCTAGTCAAACACCCGCTATTACCCAGGGGACAAGTCCTAACCTAGTTTTGTTTAGGAGCCATGGAACGGGGGCGGGGTGGGTGGTCCATGATGGTCGATCCGAGATTCGTGTTAAACTCCCCACCACCCACTCCCCACGTTTACACTGGAGCCCCGCCTAGAGGGGGCGGGGGGTGCTTCGTCGCGTCCCCCGTGCCCCCGTGGCTCACGGGGAGGGGAGGGGGGGTCCCTTATTCTAAAGGAAAGGGTGTAACAGACGGCTCACAGTGTGAGAGAGAGAGGGGGTTACCTGCTACGCCAGAAGAGGGAGAGAAGACCCCCCTTGCCCCGATAACGTGGACACTTTAAAGGAAGAGCGTGGAGTTGGGAGCCGTAATCTCGTCGCGGCCTGTAGTACAGTAAGTCAGCGGGGTGGGGTGGGAGGGCCTTGCCGAGGTCGTGTTAAGCACTGCGAGGCAACGTGTCCCGTAACCTAAATTTAAACCGTGTCGCCGTGAATGTTGGCATCATTCAGTGGGGGTGAGCGCGAGAGAATACGGGCTCGAGTTGAGTTGAATCGGCGGTGGAAGGCGGGGAGAGTGTGTGGGGATGAGTGTGGGAGGCGTGCGCTGCAGCCCTGGGCCTTTCCACGTGGACACGTGTTGAGGCCTCCATGCAGCCCGCATCGTCCTAGCCGACCGCTTCTCCCGCCCGCGTGTGCGCGTTCGTTAAGAGTCGTACTGCTTTCTAGCCACCGCTTATATTGATTTATCCGTCGTGTGCTAGCGTTCGAGCCGCGTATTTACTCCGACTGCTACTTGAGTCGTAAGTCTCTTGTGTGTTACGCCGCATTAGGCTACCATTGTTGAGCCGTTTTTGCTCTCCAAATCCGCAACAATGCGTCTGTATTTTTTCGTGTGTTTCGTTGTTTTAAAGCCGCCTCTTCAAACTTGAAAGTTCGTTTTAATCGTTTCGTTTTATATTTTAAGAGGGGCTAGTAATTTGGGTTGAAATCAAATCGCGCTGTGTACACAGCAACTACTGTACGGTGTCGGGTTCGAAGTTTTTTTTTGCGCGGCGCGTTGGTTTTACCACTTGTTAGGTCGATGGATATAACGCGGCGTTACGACTGGCACTTTGTGCGATGTGAACGTTTGGGTTTGTCCTTCGAATAGACTGACCGCATTAGGAATGTGGAATTACCACTGTCGGCTTAGAGGGCCGCCCATGGTGATCATTTGAGCCGGTGGTGCGGGGTACACAGGTAAAACCCACTCGCTGCGTGTAGGTTTTCTCGTGCTGTATTTCTTTAACCGGGAGCATGAAACGCACGGAGTATTTTTTTCTTGTGTAATTGTCCCTAAATTAATCCGCACTAACTAGTCTGGTTAAATGAGGTCAAACCCCCCCTCCCCCCACATGATCGGCGGCGTGGGTAGGGGGGGGGCTCCATTCAGTCGTGGATTAACAAAAATGTGCAGTGAATGTATACAAATTAACAAGTCCTGGTATTTATTGTCACTGTATTTAAGTTAACTTTGACCCGTCCTTTGGTAAAAAAACGTATTTATCATAGTTTGTCTCGTCCGATTTATGTAAAGTTTTAAACAGATACCTAAAATGTGCAGTGGTGATGAGGATATGGGGTGTACAGTCCTTGTGCACTTAAGATACCGCCCGACTGTAGTTTAATGACGGTCTAAAAATGCAGCACAGTACAATAGACTTGTTACATTGGGGCCGCACCTCGAATTCAACCCCTTTGTAGTTCCAGGCAATGCTAATTTTGTGTGACTATAGGTAAAATTTGATCGTGATTCATGATGTAATGAGAAATGGGAGCAAAAAGTGGCTTGTGTTTTTGCACCGTCATTGAGTGTGCAGTACTATTTATTACCTGCCGGCCGATTTAACAGCAAATGATTATAATTTACCCAACGTTTGGAAAATTATTTGCAGAAAGTTGCTCTTTCACCTGCGCTCGTCATTATAACGATCTTCAAGTCTTAAGTATATTCCTCTAGACGGAATGGCTTTCGTGGAAGCTAAATTAAAACGCAAATGTTCATGCTCCTATTAAATAAATACACGGGTGAACTTGATAAGAAGGGTATGCAGTACATGCAAGGCGAACAACGACGAGGGGAATGACTGCTACTCACACAGGTGGTTTTTACAAAGTTTCTTGAACATGGCGCGCCGCAGGGGTTTACGCGGGCCAACTGCGAAGTTGGCCTTTCTGATCATTATGTATCTGCGACGAGGCCATACCATAGGGCCGTGCCACAGATACTCGCATGCCTTGCCGTCCGCGCGCTTTGTCGTGTGCTTACAGTGGCCCATGGGGAGATAAGAGAGCCCATCGCCTGGCACGTGTTCAAGTGAGCACAGGCGAAGCGCACGCGTGGGATGTCTAAAAAGGCGCATTGCCTCCCCTGCCTCTGTTGCCACTTGTTGTTGCGGGACCAGCTTTACAGGTGTGAGAGAGAACCCCCCCCCCCCCAACTCCCACCACCACGTAGGGTGAATGAAGCGATCCGCTTGCCGCGAATCAAAAGACGGCTCTCATCTTGCGACTGGCCCCAAGCGGCATCAAAAGCGTCGTAGCAACGAGCACGTGATGACGCCGGCCCCGCTTGTCCCCACTGAGCGGCACGGGGCCTGCCAAGCGTGATGAGAGAGGCCGGCCCCCCATCGCCCACCTCGCTCGTTAGAGCGTGGAGACTTTGCGACTCGACTTTACTCTCATCGAGCAAATGCGAGCGGGGGAGGGGAGTTGAATTCGCACTGTAACTCTTACGTAATGGGCCTGTATACATTCTGGAGTGATTTGCAAAGAATTTGCACGGAAATAATTTGGATTAGGCATGTGTATTCTAGTTTTTGTTTTGTGTGTTTCATTCTTGCACTTTTGATTGACTTCATATTTTCTGCGAAGCATACGCATTCCAAATGTCTTTGGTTTTCGGTCTCCGAGCAAGACATTTGATGTGCACTTGCTTATGTTTCTAAAAGTTATTTAAATGTACCTGTTTGTTACCCCGTGAATGGCGATGGATAAAAAAAATCCTGCCCTACTGGAACAGGCATGCTTGTTGTCGCCTTCGGTGTCGCTTTTTTCGAAAGCTGCATGTTTAATTTGGCGCTGTGATGGCACCCGTTGAGAAGTCTGTGCTGTCGAAGTTGTGATTTGGCTTTGGAGTAAAGTATGCGATTGTGCTGCATAGGCACAGTCCACGGTCACATCAAAATGACCCATCGTACGTATGTATTTACTCTGTTGAACTGCTTTCTAACCATATGTAGCCAACCATGCTCATCGGAAGTGCGGTCAGTGCTGCTGTAGAGCACTTTTTTTCTTAATTTTTACTGCTCACCTAATTGTATTTTAAAGGTTCCGTAATGTTGAAATTGAGATGAATGATCACTCGGTGTTAAAAGGCCAAGGCATTTACTTATACCTGACAACGTAGTTAAAAGCCACTTGTTTTTTTGACTGAGTCATATTTGGCCAAAATATCTGCTACGGCATCCCTCGCGTATCCTTGGGTTTGTTGGCCTTGTTTTTTAAGCGTAGGTGTAGAGCCCGGCATTGTTTTCTTTCTCTAACGAAAGCACACCGCCATTGAATTGACGCTGGATCGATTGCTTGGCACGTCTTGTTTTTTAGGCGTTGCGTCATTACTCAAAAACACAGCTGCTTTGGCCACGGCAGCATATAGCTTGGCTGCAAGCTGGCGACATGAATCGGTGTCGATTTGCGCACGCACATCTGGTCATGTGTAACGTTAGAGAACCTATTATGGAGGTCGTTAAGTAATGTTTTCGTAGGCCCCGGTAAACATACTTGCATTTCTCTTAAGTTGAAATTAGGAGTGCCAGGTGTTTTTTTCGCACGTTATTGAAATGCTCATGTATTAGCGGGCTAAAGTTTCTACCATTTAGAGTGTGAAAATGGTAGCTGATTAAAATGTTTAAAATCTTACTTTGGGTTTAATCCCACCATGTGTAGTACCGACGATGCTCATTGGATATGCCCAAGTTAGTGTATGCCTGCTCAAGTGAGTAATGGAGCTGCACTCATTACCATTGACAGTCCTGAGCCAATGTTGTAAATTCCACCTTTTCCATGGCTGAGGTCACTTTCACATAAGACAATTGCTGTTAACTTCCCACTCACAGACCACAGAGAGATCATATGCCGAGTTGACCCTCGGACAAATCGGGATTTTCAACCTTGTGATTGAGTCAGGCTTTTGAGATTAGAAAATTGTATTTTAAACAAGTGCAGTAAAAATAACGTGCCATATTTGTATGCATGAGATTAAATTCTAAGCAAGTCTGAAGTGCAGCACAGTATACCAGGCTTGATGAAGTTGACGAGGTGACAACCATGTTTGTGCAGTTGAGAAACCTGATTGCAAACTGTTTTAAAACTTTCCACAGTGTTACTGCGCTTTGCATTGACATTAGATGCATTCCTGACGGGGTTTTTTTTCTTGCACAGTGTGTTCGGTCTTTTGAGACGCTCAAGTTGACGATTTGAAAATGTCCTTTATTGCTCAATGCTGACCCGTGTTGCGCTGAAGGGAACATAATGGCCGACTCATTGCACTTCACGTGGTCCTGCAGGAGGGAGGAGATTTTGTGTTCCTGGTTCGGTTGGTCTGTCGAACTCACTGGTTTAAGTGTCTTAGTTTTATGTGTGCGTTTCCCCCTTTTTTTAGTAATAAAGTAGTTTTGTGTTGTAGATAAAACGTATGGGTTTTGCATTAACGTGATGAATACACGCTACCACCGATTGTAATTCGTGAGTCATGAATTTAGGACACTGCACAGTAAAATGCTGCTTCAGCTACATTTCTGCCTTCCCTTTGTGCTGCTGTAAGGCAAGGCCGTTGCTCTTAATGTTATTGAATGACAATACATTTCTACTTGGAAGGCAGAGATAGTTGTACATGTGGGAAAGGAGTTTAGAAGAGAAATCGCCACCTTTGTCACGTGGGATGTACACCATTGACTCGGCGTCACTGAGATGAGTGCGGCGCCATTGCTCTTTGGAGCAAAGAGGGCCATTTGAATCGCGTTTGACTTGAAAGTATTCTCAGTCCCGGTATATAGGGTTAGGGTTTCAGCCTCTGCTTTGTACAGTGACATCCATTGGTGTGTGCCTGTCACGTTTTGAAAAGTACAACGAAAGTTTTTAGCCGAGTGTTTGTGTTACTCGAGGAGCATTGTGTTTGAAATCTCTTGCACGTTTGTGTATCGGTTACCGACCCTTAACCAGGCGAATATCCACGGAGATTGGGAATCTCGAGTAAGGACAGATGAGGAATTATGTGCCTAGCGTCTGGAACCTCCGCTGTGACAGCAGCATGCATTGACCCGTTTCTGCGAGTAACAGCGTTTCAAGATGTTT